TTCTTGCCCAAACCCATTTGGTGACCCTGGTAACCCTGGCACCGTGTGAGTTGCTGACACAGTTAAAGGACCATGAATGGACAGGCTTGACCTGGACTTCCTCTTCACCCCATTTGGCCTTCTTTCCTTCACTTTTATGCTAACCTCTATGACCACAGCTCCATTTGAGTGGTCAAACCAAGGCTATAAAATGCCCTACAAACCTCCACTGTGATTAGCTGCCGAACAGTAATACAATCGAGCTACTACTGTAGAAAAACATAGCTTATATTTGGGAGTTAAACATTTATTTTTTAGCAGCAGTAATGTCACCAGGAATATTTTATCATCATGAAAATTGTCTGTTTTATACAGTGGTGTGAGAGCCACTGGTGCTGTAGTTATAGAATTACCCTCAGTCTGACTAATGACCAGGGCATTAAACCACGGCCGAGCCATTAATCCCAGTATCGATCGTCGCTGCAGTTTAACATGAACATAAATGTTGATTCATCGGCCTGTTTCAGCAACTAACCCTCACTCTCCGCTTTTGCCCGTCAGCCAAATTATGAAAGTGAGTATCTTTAATTCATCTAATTTTATTAAATAGACTCAGCAGTGCAGTCGGGGAATTAGTTTCACAGCAACACTCTGCTAGTGAAAGGACAATTCCAGTTCATAGCTGATGCCTCATGCAGAGATCAAGAAACTCAACCTGCGGCTCTAATATTAACAAGAAGTTTCCTACCTGCGTCCGCTTTCTTGGTGTATTTTTTACTCTGGCCGCGGATGATGAGGATGAAAACAAGGAGGAGTATGAAGATGAGGCCCACCAGAGCAATCACCACCAGGAACCACCACTCCTCGTAGAATGGAGAAACTTTCTGGGCTGGAGACATAAAATTCACATGAATATTTAATATGCAAATAGGAAAAAAAAGTCATGCAGACTATTGTGAACCTTCAGTATAGACCTGATATTGAAGGGGAAGGAGCGCTGGGAGAGCCGTAGCCGTAGTCGTTGACTGCAATCACTCTGAAGTCGTAGGTGACCCCTTCCCTCAGCATGTCCAGGTTAAGTGTGTAAGATGTCACCTCTTTAGGAATGTCTTTGATTAGGATGTCCCACAACCCTTCATCTAAAGACAGGGTGACATGTATATGCATAGGCATTGATCAAGAGCAGCAGTGATCGCGGTGGAAAGTGTCACCAAGTCTTAGCGTAAGCCGCTCACCGGAGGGTCTGGCTTCAATAACGTATCTCGTGATGGGTGAACGACCTTGATCACCACTTGTCCAGTGAAGTGTGAGGGCAGCGCCATGACGAGAAATAAATGGTTCCCCTGGAGGGCCCGGGGCTCCTTGGGTGGATGAAAATGGATAGTTTGAAAACTGGCATTCTGTCAAAAAAGATTTGATTACTGACATGGACATGAGGAAAGAGCACCTTCTCCGGGCCCAGTGGTGATGTTAGCCTCGACCTCTGGGCCATAAGTGAGCGTTTTAGCACGGATGCGGAAATTATAGGTGACGCCATCAGCCAGGTCTTTGATCTTCATCCAGAGGGGAGTGCTGCCCTTTACATCGACTGTCACGATCTTACTGACACCTGGAGTAACAGAAGGGCAGTACAGGAAACGCTCAATAAATAACGGTCACTTACATACAGTTATATTAAGTCGCTGTCCTGATGTAAAAAGGAGTCAGTCTGGAGACCAAAATACTTAGACATATATTAACAATTTTAGCATTTAAGTAATGGACTGTGGCTAGTAGACATGTTAGCGTGAAGATTAGCGGTAAAAAGCTAACTTTGTCAATCTCTGTATTTAATATTGTTCTCTATTTCTTTTTAATCACAGACTGTTATTAACACATTATTCATATTATATTGAATTGTAATTACATAATGATGCACTGATATAAAATAAATATGTTGATATGTTTAAATACCAGTAAAGACAGTTTGTAATGAAGATTCAAGTATTACTGGAGTGTTTTATCAGAAAAATAATCCTGACACTAAGATACACAATATTTCCTTAATGCTGCAAACAGGAAGTGCCTGCACTGGTGTTTGTTCACAAAACAAATTTGGCTTTTTTCCCTGGATGCACAGTATAAATTCTAGTACATTCAGTTTCTTGAATGTACTGGAAAGTTTCAGTCTCAACACTGTTTCATGCCGGCACTAACTAAGAAATGCTACTGCTGCTGTTTTCAATTCCAAGCTGGAGAGGAAATTGTTGACCCCCGTGCATCTAGTCTACTGAGAAATCAATTTTAATCTTTACTTTCTAAATTAAGCCAACTTTATCTGAGTGTATTAGTCAGAATATACATTACATTAAGTACTATTTAAGTTGGGGTCATTTGTTTGCGTACTAAAACTGTCTGGTACTGGTAGGACTAACAGATTAATTCCGTTTTACCGCATTGCACTGTTAATGCACCGAGTGTTCTTTCCACCAGGGTGAATTCCCAATAACGGACACAGTGAGTTTTCATGCACGTTAAGTCAAGCTAAGGTTAAAGCTAATCTAAACCACTGTTCATGTCCCAGCTGAAGTAGACAACTGATATACTGACAAAAGCAATTTGTCCTTCATTACAAAGGACAATTGGTTTCCCTTTGTATGTTGTACTTGATGGTTAGATGATGCTATGCTATTATATCCCTCGATTACTTCCCGGCTAAAACAAATGAGCGGGAGAGTCCCCGGTGAGTTCAACTTCGAGAAATACAATTTCATTCTTTCCCCAGCCAGTATTCGATGTTCGGTAGATTTCAAGGCTAAATTGAACTTTTGCAACAATTTGGATTTCTTTAAGGTCAAATTTTCTCAGAAAAACAGCACCTATGCATATTTAAAAGAAAAGGTGAATTGGGCAGACTCACAGGAACCTTTTATATATATATAAATATAAGAAAGCAAGTAGGAAGTAGCACTACTTTGTGTCTGGCCCTGGGCCCCATCAGTGAATAGCCAGGGGACCACATCAGCCTCAGCTCAGAGTTCCACCTCTGCTCTCAATTACTTGACAGTCTGGTCCATGAAGTTTTGCTTAGCTAGCCATTGGCTGTATTTCCCTCGACGTGTGAGCAAGTCTCGCCATAGCATTCCGACACTTTTTTTGTTTCATCAGCCATCCCATATAACACCCTATGTTCATCTGTGGTGCATTAGGAGCATGAGTTTAAGCAGCGTCAGTTTAAAGAGAACATGGAAATATGTGACGAGCAGTTATAAATCAACCGTCTGAGAACGCCAGCTGAGGAATGTCAGTGCATGGCAGAGGTTTTAGACTGCAGGCAGAGTTTCTCACCGTCCACAGGCGTGCAGGGCTCATAAACCAGGCGGTAGCCTTCAATGATGCCATTGGCCTGTTTGGGCTCTCCCCAGGACACGTTGACCGAAGTGGTGGTCAGTTCACCAAAGTGGATGAAGCCAGGTGCGGTGGGGGCTTTTGGAGTGGAGAAAACAGTTGGTGATTACAGCTGGACCATATTCAATTTCTAAAACCAAACATCATGTACTGTAATGTACGATGGAACGAGAGCCAGTAACTGCTTGATAAAAAAAAAAGAAGCATTATCATCCTTATTTTCTGTATTATTATACATGACATAATTTTACACGGTAATACAAAATACCACTGCAAAAATAAATAAATTAAGAGAAAAATCCAAAGGCAGTGTAAAGTGAAAATGCAATTTACATACTAATGAAAGTATTAGCCAGGATGAAAGGGGACTACTATGAAATTTAACAGAGGCTCTGCTTATTATCGTGACTCCAGTAAAATAATAAATTATCATTTTTACCAATTTAGGCGTCATTAGGAAACGGAATTAACACAAAAAGCATTTGCTGTGACCTTGAGCCAGAGCTGTGAGAACTCTGCCAGCTGACTCCGCACCAGCTGAGCATCAGGATTTAGCCTTCCAATTTTGCATAATATTCACACAAGCATGTGTTGGCTGGCTTCCCAGCATCCTGAGCTGAGAATGGAGCCAAAATTCCTGCTTCTGTTTTAAGTTCTCAGCACTTTGTATCACTCACCAATGTCACAGCCTTTAAGGGGGCGGAACAATTGAAAGAAATTTATACTGTAAACCATTTTTGTGCTGAAACCGCAGAGGAGGGACTCTCTGGAGCTGATAAACACAGACGCCTTTGTGCAGTTGCAGCCAAAAACTAATCTACATGTGTCCCCCCGCGCTCTGTATTCATTGCTCCTCCGCTGTCATTGGGCTTCCACCCCCTTGGCTTGTCCTGGAGGAGGTTCCTGTTTTGTGTCTGAACTATTTGGTGAAAATGCTCTGTATCTCTGGGAATAGGAGGAGCCGCGCTTTCATTATTTGTCTTAAAGCCGCAGTGCTTTAGCTGCATTTTGTGGGTTTTGTGTAACACAGAGGCCAAAGATGAAAAGTCTGCACTTTCTACTACTGTGGGGAGAAAGTTATTTCTGAGTCACTATACTCTATATGATCCCATGAAGACCATGAAATTTGTGAAATAATGAAGAGGATTAACATAGTCCAGCTGCCAGAAATAGACGGGAGGAGAAAAGAGAACACGTGCAGAAGCAGAGGGCTTTTAGCAGGGGGCAAAAAAATAAAGGACACTGGGCATTTATTCTTTCAACAGCTGGATTCAGTGCAACTCACCCGCTTGCTGAGTGCGCCCTCTGGTGGGCAGGGAGCGGGGGCCATCCCCTGCAGCGTTGAAGGCTGACACGCTGATCAGGTAGGTAGTGTAGCCTGTCAAGTTTTTGATCTTGACCCCCAGCTCCGGCAGGAAGAGAGTGCGCAGACGTTCCGTCTCATTCTGCAGCTGAAACTCCCAGAAGTAAATCTACAAGGAGAGCAAGAAATGAAGACACAATGAAACACAAAATCTACAGCCAGAAAAGTTGGAACTTTTCCCAAAAATGCTAATAAAAATTTAATGTTCACATATCCACCTCTACTTTACTTCTGAGACACATTTAAATCACTTGGAAGTTAAGATTTAAAAAAAGAACATTTTTTTGACATTCTTGCAAAACACTTGACTTTCACTGGCCATCCTTGTCTCATCTCATCTCCTTTTTCAACATTTTTAGACAGGCACTGAAGGCCGGCCAGTCTTGGAGCCCTGGTCTGCAAAACCAAACATTTTTGGGCCTTCTGCACACATTAACTCATGATTGTCTCAGAGAAAATGTTTTTTGTTGAAAAGGCGTCTGAGTTCAGGGACAATGATTTTCTGAAGTTAGCCTGAGCCTCTTTTCAAATGCATTACCATTCTGTTGTCTTAGGGAACGTGCAGATTACCTTGTATCCTTGAATGTCTCCATTCTGAGCGTCCAGAGGAGGAGGGTCCCATGTGACGTCCAGCTGTGTGGCTGTTGAGGACTGGACCATCACATTCTGTGGGGGCGCTGTTGGGACTGCAGAGCGTGTAAATAGATATATTAGCAATGTGACTACTGTGCGTGTACTACGCAAGCGTAAACCAAGAACATCCTCAACAAGTACCTGCTTCTCCAACAAACACCTCCTGCGGGGCGCTGCTCGGACCCTCCCCGACAGCGTTGTACACACTGAGTCGGATCTCGTAGCGTTTGTGTTTGCTCAAATCTGAAAGGAGGGAAGCACGACTTCCTTTATGATGGAACAAATAAAATAATAAAAATAGCGATAGAAAAAAAAAGTTATTCCAGGGAGACTCACAGTTTCACAGCCATGCCTGTGGCAAGACAACAACGAGCACAAATGGAAGAGACAGAAACAGCGAAGGGATGGAATTAAAAGAGCAGAGTGATGAAAAGATGAGATTGTGATGGGGACATGGGAAAGATTTGTCAGTGATTCAAAAGAAAAAAGTAAAATAGGGGCAGGGCGGCTCGGGGAGATTAAAGCCATACATACATCAGAGGAATCGTAAGCAGCTCCTTAGTGGGTACAGCTGAGTGGGAGGGCTGTGCATCCTGCACTTGCTGTGATTAAATTCTACAAAGTGAAGTGTATAATACGTATGGTGCTAAAATGGTGGAAATAAAACACAAATACGTCACATTAACAGATGGAGATGGATGGAGGAGGTGGAGGATGACGATGATAACACACTACACAGGACTTACTATCCAGTTCATATTGAGTAAGCGAGGATTCTGTTAAATTCCTGACACTGTACGGAGCTGGAAGGGAGGCGGAGCAAAACGAGGAGGGCGTAAAGGAGGAGAGGGCAGGGGCATTAAGAGACTCGTATGTAACGAACTGCAGTTCTTAATGAGGGCATTAATACAACTTCATTCATCCCAGGTCAGGAGTGAAAATGTCGGCTCACCCGTGAGATCGGCCCAGTTGGCAGAGGGACCTGCGCGAACGGTGAAGCTGCGTAGGTGGTCGTAGTGTAATTCACGGTACCTGACCCTGAAGCCCAGCAACACTCCATTTATGTGATCCTCAGAGGGAGGCTAAAGAGAGACAAAAAAGAATCTGCTAACGGCGAAACTGCTCCTGTGTAATATGAGGAACCAAGTGCCCCTGCTGTGATACTAAAGAGCAGAACAATCTCTCTCTCTCTTTCTCTCTCTCTCTCTCTATATATATATATATATGAATGACTGCAGTTTAAGAAACTTAATGATTACAGTGCAAATATTTGTTCCTTATTTGTGTAAAAAATCCAATCCATTGACATTTAGACTGATCTTTAGTCTTTGACTGACCATGAAGCCAATGACTATGAAAATTTAGACTTTAGATATTAAATATTTAGATATTAGACTATAAAATTAGCATAAGACCATTTAACTGAAACAAAATGTCTAAAGAATGGATTCAGAAAGAACAAAAATGGAAAGAAACATTTAAACAAACAAAGTTATATTACAAATTGGTTGGTTTTCTTCTAAAAGGTGAGCTGCATACAGCAACATACAATAGCCACCTACTACAAAATGGCTAAAAACAATCAACTAAAAACAACAACAAATCTTAACATCTCTAAAGAAAATATAAAAACTAAAAGGTATTTGAAAAACACTGCTGGGTCTAGCTCTGGTTCTAACTTCCCACTTCTCATTCTTGAAGTCGTTTTACCTGCCAGCGAACCAGTACAGATGTAGTCGTGTGAGGTGTGACAGACAGAATTGTTGGTGCTTTGTCTGGAGCTGGAGGAGAAGGAAAAGAAAAAAAATGTTAATGTTGACAAAAGCTGCTGCAGAGAGTGAAAAAAAAATGGGATATAAAAACTCTGGGCCAGTAGAGAAAAAGTGTGAAAGTCCAAAAAGACAACACGGACTGCAACGGATGTTGTCGCGACTAATGGGATGTTGTGATGTCACCGTAGATCATAGCTATCTGTTCGCAGACTACTGTTGCATGGCGAGGCTCGCAGAGCAGATGTGCTCTGCTAATTGTGAAAGTAACTGTACAAATGGAGCCCAGTCTATTTCAGTGGCATCACCAATGCCTACAGATGGCTCAGACCATTTCTCACGTACGCTCGGTGCTTCGTGCTCAACAGAGCGTGAGGCCGATGCTGTTGGATCCATGTCTAATTACAGCAGTCACTATGACTTACCGTCTTGTAGTGTAGTGATGGCCTCACTCTCCTGGCTGTACTCGCTGTCTCCTATGTCATTGGTCGCTTTGAGTCGAAACTGGTAGGAAGTGAACGGCTTCAACCTTCAAAGACAGGAAATGTTCACCGAATGGAGTTTGTTATTTTTAAATCCTAAAGTTAATGGACGTGAAAACCTTCAGTTGGTGTTTCAAAAACAGCTGTTAGAGCCAGCAAAAGGAACTAGTGTTAGACTCCAAACCTGCTGGCCAGAGGTGGTACTACACCAGGAAATATGTAGTTTTTTTTCAGAAATGTTGAAACATACATTGGTCCACGTGGCGCAAGAGTGGTACGTGTTCTTGCCTTACAGCAAAAAGGTTTGTTCATGAATTTTCTCCATGTATTGTGGTTTCAACTTGTTGGTTTATGTAAATTAGACGCTACAAGGGCAGGCGTTACAGGTGTCAAACAATCCAGAGTGTAGTCCACCATCTGCCACTGACTGCTACAATGAATACATTTACATTTACCTGTCCACGATGTAGGAGTTGGTCTCATGGCTGACTGAAGCTGAATGCACAGTCCAGTTACTGTCAGGCAGCTCTCTGTACTGGACCGTGTAGTACCGAACCGGTGACAGGCCGTCACTGCCGGGTTCCCAGGACAAAAGCACTCTGCGTGCCTGGACTTCCTCTTGAGGAACGACAGGACGACTTGTGGGTTGAGGTCGAGCTGGAGAGCAGAGCAAAACGTACGGTCATTTATTTAAAGTAAACTCTTCAAAATAAAACATTTTAACTGCCTTTTTTCCCTACCTCTCTTTTCTGTGGTGACCACCAGAGCCTCCGCTGCTTCCCCCCAGCCTTTCCGTGTCTGAGCAGTGAGGCGGAAAACATAAACCGTTTCTGGCTTCAGTCCAGTCGCTGTGTACTGTCGTGCACTGGGGCTCAGCACGTCCACGGTGGCAGCGTTGCTATTTGAGGAGTTTCTTCTGTACGTGATCTGATAGGCTGCAGGAGACAGACCAATATGATACAAAGCCATGCATAACAAAGGAAGGGCTAAAAGCAGGGAAATCTTATCATCACAAAAAAGCAGATGGAGAGGGTTAAAGGAAAAATAGATTCAAGGCTGATATATTTCATTCAACTGAAAACTAAAATCTTTTTCTGTGTCTGTTATTAGACCTTTGATGGGAACTGTTCTGTGCTCTGTAGCCTTTTTTGTAAATCTTACATGGATGATGGTGTACATTTGATCTTGGCTTCTATTTTCCTTTCATTATTTCTGCATGCCTCTGAAGCCGTGGGAAAAGTATTTAAAACAACCTTGGTTTGGTAAAATATGATGATTGAAATTTGTATATTTTAACACATACCCAGGATGATTCCATTGGGCTGTGCAGGAGGCTGCCAGATGAGCCTGACTGATGTGGTCCTGACTTCAGGGAACAGGATGCCGACTGGAGGTCCTGGCACTGAAACAATTTATCAAAAAGGTTTAAAACGGACCAAAAATGAACCAAACAGAAATATCTGAGCACTGTCATTGAGAATGATCCAAGCACCGTCATCCAGGGTTCTCTCAAGAATGGGTGGTGTGCTGCTCCTTCCATCCCCAATACGTGTGAACGCCAGGACCTGGATCTCATACAGGACGTATTTGCCCAGACCACTCAGCTGGACACTGTGGCTGGTGTTCCCGTCCACTGTCCAGGAATCAGGAGCTTTGTCCGAGTCCTTTTCCTTATACACGACCTGAAAGACACCAGGGTCTACTAACAGCTGCTGACGTACATGGAGAGTACCAGCTCCACTGTTGTTGGTGAACATGACATTTACTTGGATCTTAACTAAATAGACAAAAGGAGAAAGAGACTTTAACTGTTTCTAATAATTAATAAATACACTTTTTATGAAGTGTAACGACAGCTGAGGCACACTTTAGTGCAGTCTCAAAGTTGGGGGGGCTTTCTTAGGAGGGCACAGAGCTACTGCAACTGAATTTTAATATTTGCTTTATTGGTCTCATTGGGAAATGCACTATTTTGTGTTTTTTTTCTTTTGTTCAATGAGAATAGCATTTTTACAGGAATTACTAAATTAAAAAAAAGTTTAATTTAGTTTTTCAGCAATAGCTATGAAAGTGTTGGGGCCTCGACAACAGTCCACAATCTACAAAAGGGGGCGCTATAGATTCGGCATTAACAGGATCCAGTCAAGGTGCTAAACACTGATACACACTGACCTTGTATCCCAAGACAAGTCCATTGCGGTCAGCTGCAGCGACTTCTCCCCACCTCACCAGGATGCTGCTGGAGGTCGTAGCGAAGGCTGACACATTGGTCGGACCACTAGAGGGCACTGCAACAGGTAACAGGTAAAAGTCAGAATCTGATATCAGTGGTAATGTGAGATTCTACACGTGAAGCCAGAGTCTCTTCTCACCAGACTCTCTGGTTCTGCCGTGGACTGCTTGGCTCCAGGGTCCTGAACCAATCCCGTTGATGGCCTGGACTCTGACCTCATACTCCATCCACTCTTCTAAGTCTTCAATGGTGAACTCTCTCTCCAGTCGATCCATGATGACATGCGAGAGAACTCCACCTTTAGAACCAGCTTTGGAGTACTGGATCCGGTAGCCAACAAGATCCGGGTTGCCGTTGTACTCCCACTCTGGAAGAGGCTGAGAGATTTTTTTCGTCTTTTAATTCTGAGAGTTTTTCTTTTCATATTCCTAAAATGTAGATAAAGAATGAAAGCAAAAACATGCAAAAGAGCTAATTCGTGTTAGCTTTTTAATTGAAGTATTCTACACTTTTTTTAGATGTGGTACTCTACTCTAAATATTCAACACCCTTAAGCGCCTCAACCAGCTGGTCAGTTTACAATGAAACAACATCCTGGGTTATCAAAATCAGCAGTTTAACACCTCCTAAGGTTTAGGGTTTACTCTTAACTCATCAGCTATCTGTGCTGAAGTCGGTTTCATTATGGTATTGGCGTTGGTAGGGATGTCCAGTATTTTCCTACAGAAGGTAGCAAACAAAATTAATGAATGAACTCTGACAATATCAAGTTTTGAAAAGTCCAGACAGTGATGATGTCACTGGACGTCATGTTTATATAATGAGCTTGACCTAACAGAAGGAAACAAAACTGACTTCAATAATAAGCAGCTTGAAAAAAACACTGACTAATATTACCAAAACTCTCAAAAATGAACATAAAAAGTCATTAAAGCTCTTAAAAAACAAATACTTTTTATTTCAAAGCTTTATTACACTTTTAACAACTAAGTTCTGGGCAGAAGATTCAATTTTCATCAATAAACCGTCCTTTAATGTTACACTGGACCTTTAAAGACTAATGTTCTGTATCCAGCACACATAATTGCACATAATCGTAAGCACTGAAATGCAAATATGTACTTTTTTTTAATACGGATGTGGAAGTATTTTTAACATTAATGTGGTCCGGCTCTGAGGGGATCACAAAATTTTACAACAGCCTTTGCGAAGAGCTGAAGTCGCCGAAATATTCCATTAATTCTCTGAGCTGTATCAGGCAGCTGACGCCCCGCTGCTGTTAAATCCAGGTAACTTGTACCACTTCTAATCCTGCCAGAGCTGCACAAGCACTCTGCTGCAGCCTGGCACCGTCAGCCGCCGCTCCCTGATCATAATGGACAGATGTAGCAAAGAATGTAATGGCCAAATACTGTGGAGGAAGCTGGCATCAAAAGGACAGTGTGGCTGCACCTTTCCAGATAATTATCAGTGCAATCTGTATTCATCATGGAGACAGCACAGACATCCAGCAGAACATGAGAACAGAAGACTGAAAGAGCAACACTGCACGGACAAAAACAAAACACAAGGTCTAAAATTAGAATGGCGGCAGACATATAAAGCCTGTAAGATGTTATTTAATACACTGTTACTCTGGGCTAACTTTTTAAATGTAATATTTTCTTTCTATTAACTCACATTTCTGACCTAAAAAGTAAAAAAAAAAAAAAAAAAAAAAAAACAAGGAGCTGTGAGTCTGCAAGGAAAATGTTAAAAAAAATGCTAGAGAAAACAGATATGAGTCAGTGGTATCAAACACTAGGGCCGTGGTCAACTTTTAGTCCACAAACCACTCACATCTGGCCCCTGACTAGATACCAGTGATCATTCTGGCCTTGGGATATTTTATATATATAATATATTTGATAAACAGACATTAAGGTGAAGTTCACTGTGACAAACTCACCACCCAGCGCAGCCACAAGCTGGTCTCACTGGCGGTGCGCAGGGTGACGTTGGCGGGGGCGATGTCTGGAGGGGCCTGTAAGGTCTGGATCTTCCTGGAGGGTTGACTGGGCAGACTGGTGCCCACTATGTTGACCTGGCGCATTCGAAACCTTGGACCACAAAAAAAAAAAAAAAAATATATATATATATATATACATAATGATTTCTCATCTACAGACAATGTCGGTGTTTAATCATGAAAGGCTGTTGATATGAAAAAAGATTAGATCACTCTAGATTAGATTAGATTAGATTAGATTGGATGAAATTGTGATTGTGACCAAAAGGAAAGTAGGTCAATGCAGCAGCAGAGAATCTGTTTGTGAGACGAGAAATAAAGCAAATGGGAAAACAGATACACTGGCCAATCATTAGGTACATCAGGCTAAAATTATTATTTTTTAGCCATTTTGGCTTCAAAACTGACTGAGTTTTATAGCATATAAGAATAATAGAATATAAAAAAAAAATTGAAAAAAATTAAGTCAATTTTTTCAATGTCCCACAATGGGGAAATTCACAGTGTCTTTGCAGTGTACACAGGCTGTCATTAAGTGTGTTATTATTATTATTATTATTA